TCCGCCTCCTCCTCCTCCTCCTCCTCCTCCTCCTCCTCCTCCTCCTCCTCCTCCTCCTCCTCCTCCTCCTCCCCCTTCCTTTTTGTGCAAGGGCTATGGCATACGTGCCACTTGTTTTCGTCGTGGTTCGTGGTCCGTGGTGGTTCGTCCCCCTCGGCCCCTCCCCTGAGCCTGAGCCCCAGCTCCCCTGGGCCACCCTCCCTTCGGAGGCTTGCTCCGTCCAGGCTTCCCGGGGCAGCCCCCCCGGGCCGCGGACATCCTTATTTTCGTCGTGGTTCGCGGTTCGTCGTGGTTCGTCCCCCTCGGCCCCCCCCCCTGAGCCTGAGCCCCAGCTCCCCTGGGCCACCCACCCTTCGGAGGCTTGCTCCGTCCAGGCTTCCGGGACAGCCCCCCTGGGCCGCGGACATCATTATTTTCGTCGTGGTTCGTGGTTCGTCGTGGTTCGTCGTGGTTCGTCCCCCTCTGCCCCCTCGCAGCTCTTTTGTGCAAGAGCCAGGGCACGCGTGCCGCTTGTTTTTCGTTCCCAAATCGGCCTGTAGGTGGACATGTCCGACCTAATCCTGGGGAAGGGGTCCAGACCTCAACGGGGTCTTCGTTGTGAAGACGCCCACGACGTCGGAGTTCTTGGTGCATCCGCGCAGCTGCTGAAACCTGCGGGGACCTTGCCGCTCGGGGTCGCCGGTGGTGAGGCAGCCTCGGGCGGCCCGCTCCGCCCGCCGAGTCGGCGCCTCTGGTGGCGCGACGAGGAGGAGATGCTCACGTGGGGGAGGGGCAGGGGAAGGAGGAGGAGGAGGAGGAGGAGGGGGAGGAGGAGGAGGAGGAGGAGGAGGAGCAGGAGGGAGGAGGAAGGAGGAGGAGGGAGGAGGAGGAGGAGGGAGGAGGAAGGAGGAGGAGGGAGGAGGAAGGAGGAGGAGGGAGGAGGAGGTGCCAGTCTTAAGGCGCTGAGACAGGGTCCACTGCGGTCTCCGGAGGGGTCCGGCTCTCGGGCCGTGCCCTGCTCTCTGGCCGGGGAGCCGCCCCTGGGCCCGAGGCCCGCCGGGGCCGGAGCAGCCCCCTCCGCTCCCCGGTGGCCGGGCAGGCCCGGAGCCGGGGGGCGCACCGTGCCGGAGCTCCTGCCCTCTGGACGCCCGAACCCAGACCCCCTCGAGTAATGAAAAAATCACGACGGGAGGTTTTTCGCTATTTTCGGCCTCCGGGGGCCCTCCCCGGGCCTCGGGAGCGTCAAAAAAGGAGTCAGGATGCAAAGCCGGTCATGGGGGAAGGGTCCAGACCTCTGGGGGTCGACGTAATGAAAAAATCATGACGTCGGGGGTCTGGGAAATGGGCACGGAAAGAATGGGTACAATGCCCAACAGCAGTTCCTGTTCATTTTGAACAGGATTCGTTGTCCACGCCGCCGCGGCCTGTGTCCATTTGAGACAGAAGGCCGCCTGCCCAACAGCGGCCGCTATTGGTTCGAGACAACATTTGCTGTTGGGCATTGTGCCCATTGTTTCCGTGCCCATTTCGGGCGTCCAAATGCCCCAGACATCGGGCGCCTCGAACAAAATCGAGGCAAAGGTTTTTCATAGTTTTTGGCCTCTCGGGGCCCTCGCCGGGCCTCGGGACCGTCAAAAAACGACTCGGGATGAGGAACCGGTCCCGGGGAAGGGGTCGGGACCTTTGGGGGTCGCGTCACGAAAAAATCGAGACGTCGGATGTCTGGGCCCCCGGAGTTCCCACCGTGCCTGAGCTCCTCCCCCATGAGTTCCTGAGCTCCTCCCCCTGGCCAGAGCAGCCCCCTCCGCTCCCTGGTGGCCGGGAAGGCCCGGGGCCAGGGCGCACCGTTCTTGAGCTTCAGCTCAGCGATCTGGCCCCTGAGCGTCTACATGGCGACCAGGGGGGCGAGGATTACCGAGCTGATGGATTTCGGTGTCCTGGCACACAGGAATCCATCAGTTCAGTAATCCTCGCCTTCCCAGTCGCCGTGGCATCGCTAAGGGGCCAGATCGCTGAGCTGAAGGATCTCAGGGGGCATATGAGCGCTGCGGATCACTCTCAGAGCGTTCTGGAGCGCTCCGAGAGGGCCGCGGCTTCTGGTGCATCCTCCAGAACCTCGGGCTCCTTGACGAGGCTGGTGGATCGGCACCCGTTGCTAACGTGCATCGCCGCCGGTCCGAGATCATCACCGTGGAGCAAAAAATGCTTCAGAACCTCGGGATCTCAAAGTTTCCCGACCCCCCCGCCCGGCAGGAAACGGATGAATGGGAGGGAGTCGATTTAATTTCGACGTTCCTTTTCCTTGTTCCTCAATTTCCTTGGGACTGGCGACGACGACGACGGCACCATCGGTTCACACACGCCGAAGGGTCGGTGGATTTCTTCGGATCCGACGTTGTCCCGAGCCCAGCGCTCGCTTTGTATAGTCTGGGCGCGCCAGGAGCAGGAAAATAGGCAGACGACCAGGGGTTCCCGAGCTGGGGCTGCGCTGCACTGCACACCGCCGGCCTATCGGGTGCCAGGGTGAACATCGTCATCAACTACGACATGCCCGATGACAGCGACTCGTACCTCGAAGCAAAAAATATTCAGAGGATGAAAAGGTACCGATACTGCTACGCTTCCCTCGTTTTCCCTTTTTGGGGTCTCATGGGAGGCCCTCGTCGCCACGGCTGGATTCGCCTCGAAATTCTGGTCAGAACGCATCCAGGGAGAGGTCCGGGGAGTAGCGGTATCGGTACCCTTTGGTTTCCCCAAATACTAGGACGATGGACAAGATGTGGCGGGATTTTGTGGATGCCGCTCTTGGTCATGGTCCATGTCGCCCGTCGTCGATTCGTGAGGGGGATCCACATTGATACTGACCAAGATCGACGGTGACCAGTATTGACGCGACGTTTCCACGTTCGGTCTTTGTCATGCTCCCATGGTTCCCATTTTCTTCCCCTCCAGTACAGCCGGTCGTTGCTGCTTTCTCCGTTGCACGCTCATTCACACCCTCGTCCGCCTGTGTCCGCTCGTCTCAGGTCTGTACCTGTCCTCTCACTTTCGTCCCGTCTCGCATCTTCTCGTGTGGCCTGCCTCGAAGTCTGAGGTATGTTCAGCCCCGACGTCCCTTGTCCATGCCAACACAGCGTGTTCGAAATTCTGGTATGCCCGTTTCATCTCTGATCCATCCGCCATGTGTAGCCATGTGTCTCTTCGAGCCGCTTGACCGCGCTTGCACTCGGTTCGATCCTGTCGCCCTTTTCTCTTCGAGCTCGCGCCTGTCCCCCTTGATTTATTATGGGAGACGCAGTGCGTGCTTGTTGAACTGTATGCACCGTCCGACCCTAGAACCTCGAGTGCTCTCGGTGAGTACTGAGGATGTCCCGTGCCATGCTATGCGACGCTGTGCCATGTTATGTCTTGTGATGTCTTGTGCCCTGCCATGCTGTGCGCAGGGCACTGCAGAGCAACACAACGCAACGCAATGCGACGTACCTCGAACCGAAGCAACGCGACTCAAAGAAGTGACAAGTATGTCCTCAACTTTTCAGTCACCCAGTACTAGCCATGCAGCGCAAGCCAACTCAACGCCAACAAGGAAGCGCAATGCATGGCAATTCAGGGCAGGTCCGCATTTCCGTCGCAAATTGATCAGGAAGTACCCACCCCGATTTACAGGCCACGGGGTTCTTCCTCCTTTCCTCTCTCATCCTTTTCCTCCTCCCAGGCCGACGTGGTCAACCGCGCTGCCCACCACTTCGCTGGTCTCGCACATCATCGTTTGTAGCGTCTCTTCTGAAGACACGCTCAAAGGCTTATGCTTGCCTGGTGGAGTTGCTTCGTCGCGGCGACGTCCGCTCCACTCCTCGCCTGACAGATCCCGTTTTGGCCGTCCGATCTTGGGATCCTGTTGGGGCCCTCCTGGGGCGTACACGGGACCGTGTCGGAGGCTCCGCGAGGCTCCTCGGGGCGCCCCCCTCGGGCTCGCCTGGGTCATCTTGGGGTCGCCTCGGGCCCTTGGGGCCGTTTTGGGCTGCCTTGTGCCTCTTTGGGCGTCGGGTGAAGTCGGGCGTGTCCCCCTCCAGGGGGATGTTCGACGAGAAGCAGAAGATGCAACAAAAAAATCCCCAAGGCTATTCTTGCCTATTCTATGCCTATTTGATGCCTATGTTTGACTGTTCTATGTCTATTTTATGCCTATTCTATGCCTATTCTTGCCTATCCCCAAGAACATAGTCCCCAGACGATTCTGTGCCTGTTTTTGACTGCTCCTCCCGAAGAGGAACACGGGCCCGCCTCGAGCGTCGGGGCGGCATCCCTGCACGTGCCGTCCTGGACGCGCGCGGGGCCCGAAGCGAGTCCCACGGGCGCGGCGCGCCGGGCGGCCGCGTCGGAGCGGCGCGTGGCGGCCCGGAGAGCCACGGGGACAGGTGCCGGAGGCCTAGAGATTGACACCAACACCAAGATCGGCGGTGTGCCGTCCTGGACGCGAGCGGGGCCCGAAGAGGCCCACGGGCGCCGCGCCGGGCGGCCGCGGGGGAGCGGCGCGTGGCGGCCCGGAGAGCCACGGGGACAGTCGCTGACGCTGTCGTAGGAGAAGTAGGCTTTGGTGCTGGCGTCGCTGGCGCTGGCTTTGGAGAAGTAGGCGTTGGAGGCGTAGTCGTTGGCGTCGCTGACGCTGGCGTTGAGGATGCAGGCGTTGGAGGCGTAGGTGCTGGCGTCGCTGACGCTGGCGTTGGAGTTGGCAGGGTAGGCGTAGATGCTGGCGTCGCTGACGCTGGCGTGGGCGCTGAGCAACAGCGCGAGGAAGCCGTTGGGCTTCGATTCCGTGGCTCGCGACGGCTTCGTCGTGGCTGAATATGGAATGGCGCGCGGCGCCAGGCAGCTGAGACTCGCTCCAAGCTACCACTCTGATATGGAAGATAGTCGATGGATCTTCTTACTCGCGCGGCGAGGGGCGTAGCTCGAAGGCCAAGGGCCCTAGTTTGAATAAAAACGGTTGCGGTAGAGCGGGCGTGAGAGACAGAGCGGGAGAGCGGGAAATGGGTGAGAAGGCCTGCGAGCCTTCTGGAATCACAAGACGAAGCCAGGACGAGGATAAAATCGGGCTGGGACCAATCAAGAATCTCTGAGATCCGGCGCCTCTGGAGGATGTATCGGGCGCCGCGGCCTTCTCAGAGCGCTCCGCAACGCTCTGAGAGCGTTCCGGGTGGCGGGATGGTTCCTGCTGCGCAAGGCCGGGCCCACGGCAGGGCGCCGCGAGCGTGTCGTGGGCAATTTGCCCGACGAGCACTACGGCTACCAGCGTATCCGCGGGTTGCTGGTCAGGATGTTCCCGGACATCCACGCGTCGGAGCGCCATGCTCCCCCGCCGAGGTCATGGGCCAACCAGTCGCGCTCGCAAGGCGGCTGGCGCAGCAACGTTTCCTCCAGCCGCGGGGGGCGCACTGCCGGCGTCGTCGACGAGCCGGGCGACGAGAACGACGAGGAGCAAGAGGAGGGCGACGAGGGCGAGGCCGACGTCCAGGACATCATTCGCCCGGAGCTCGAGGCTTTCAGCGCCGAGCTCGAGTCCTCCAACGTGGACATCTCCGAGCTGTTCGACGGCGACGACTCTGCCGAGGTCGCAGCTGCCGCAGCGGAACTTGCCGTTATCCCCGAGGCCATGGCCACCATCAGATCGGCCCGGGAAGCCCTCGAGGGCCGCGGCAAGGCGAAGTCCGCGCCGCCCCGCCGCCCGACCAAGCTACAGGGCCGGGTCGACCAGCGCAAGGGGCAAGGGGGGTACTTCTTTGCTGGGACTGCGGCGAGACTGGACATTGGACAGGGGACAAGGAGCGCCCCGCGCCAGGTGCTCGCAAGTTCGCGCCCAAGGACGGCAAGTCAAACGGCAGTGGGCGAGGGGGTCGCGGAGGCCGTCCTCAGCGCCAAGCGCGCATCACCGAGCAGGTACAGTTCGCGGACGAGGTGATCGCCTTGCGCCCGCAGGGGCCAGTCACGCCGCCCCCAGAGGCTTGCGTCTCGGAGCGGCTCATTCACCACCTGCCGAGCGTGAACGTCGCGATAGGCAGTGACAAGCCCGTGGGCGAAGGCGTTGACGCGGTCGACACCGCCTGCCTTTCTGCGTCTCGGGCAAAAAGTGGTGCGACAACTACAGGGACATCCTCGCGAGGGCGGGGCTTGCCATCCAGATCCTCGAGGGGCCGGAGGATGAGGTCTACAGGTTTGGCCCAAGATGTGCTCTCCCAAACAAGTTGCGCGTCGCCGCGCCGCCTGTGCTGTGCGGCCAGGCTGGCCGCATCGTGTTCAGCGTCGTGGACAGCCCCACGCTGGGTCTGCTCATCGGCCGCGACTTCACCCAGCCTTCCAAGATCGACCTTTCTCTCTGGAAGGGCCAGATCCGCATCGGGAACGCCGCCCAGAAGCTCGCCGCGAGCGCCGCGGGCCACCTCGCAATCAAGTTGCAGCCAGGGAACTGGCAGGCCATCAAGGACGCCGGCATGGAGCAACCGCTCAGCGCGGCCAGCTCGTCCGGACGGAAGCGACAGCTGGACGAGACCCCATGCGTAGAGGTCGAGAAAGCGGTCGACCGACGGGATCGGAAAACGAGGACGGGCGACCAGCCCGCGGTCAATGACACTACCAGGACCAGCGCGCTGGTCGACACCATCAACAACCTCGTCACGAAGAAGGAGCTGAACGTTCCGAGGCGCCTCCAGGCTCGCCGACAGAAGGGGTCGGCTGCTTTCGGCCGTTGCCTCAGCCCTGGTCTGCTGCTCCACCGCAGCTCCAGCTCCGAACCTCACGCTAGCGACGCTGCCGCAGATGACCTACCCCACGACGTGCGTGACCGAGCCCCTGCAGGACTGCGCCGCCTCTGGCGATACGACCTTCGACGTCGAGGCCCGCAGCCACCGAGGTTTCTTCTCGGACTGCGTCTTCGGCGCGCCCGCAACCCTGAGTCACGGCCAGGGCGCCATCGCCGACGGCTGCCTCGGACCCGAGGCCAACGTCGTGGAGGAGGAGCAGCCGCGCGCGAGGGCGCTCAAGAAGGGGACGAAGCCGCAGCTGATCGCCGGCAAGCGCTCAGCATTCGCCACCAGCAAGAGCGGCATCCAGCCGCACAAGATCGGGCAGGCCTTGATCACTAACCTGGCCAAGTCTACAACCACATCCAGCCCGACCTCCACAGCGAACATCACCTTGCTCAACGAGTGGTGCTGCAATCCAGACAGCAAGCTCAGCGCCGCCTGGAAGAGGGAAGTAGGAGCTGCTGTCAGGTGTGGTCTTCCAGGCTTCGACCTCTCCAAGCAGATCGTGGTCCACATGCTGGAGGGCAGGGTCCGGAAGCACCTTGCCGCGGGCCAGCGTGCGCGAGTTCACGCTGCGTTTCCTTGCCAGCCGTGGACATCGCTACAACGACTCGTCGTCAAGACCGACCCGAGCAGGAGCCCCAAGTTAAAAAGGGATCAGCCAAGTCCAAGCAGATGATCGGCCTGTTCCTGCAGTCGATGTCACGGCTGCGTAAGGAGTTCGGCGCCCAGCTCGCCGTCTCGTTCGAGTGGGCGAGGCGCTGCGA